ATGTATTTCAGAGTAACTCACAAGTGTCTGGAAGTTACATTTTCTCACCGCTTCCACCTACCCCAAAACTGCAGCGAAACCCGGCTCTGCATGTGGAGCACAACAGATTTCAGTGATGAATTCGTGGTTGACAAGGCATCTGTACTATTCTAGATTGCCTCAAGGAAGACGTTGTTTTTCTTGGCAGGTAGCCGCAAGAGGTAATGCAAGTGTACGTTGGTCTGAACGTCACTCCACCAGACCGACGTGTCCAAGTCTAGCGCTCTTACCGGTCCTGACTCGCTTTACTGAGACCATGGAAGATACACGGTACGCTAGAAGCTGCGAAGAAACTAAACTGGTCTGATTACGATTCAGAGCAGGGCTTGACCTACGTGTACTGTGCCCGTGCGTATACGCATTCCTTACCGTCTGACAGTAAATACTTAGCACCCGTTGCCAAGATGTCAGCTCTAACTCTCTCCATGTTCTCGAATTGATCGCTTACGACGTAAGGGCTATTTTTGGGAGACCTCTTAATAAAGAAGAGTCTAGTGCTCACGAAGTGAATTGAGCATTCATGATGCTCCAACAACTTGACAATGTAATACTGGCAGTGATAGTCCATTTGAGAACAGTGTGTTTGCAGTGGTCACGGAGATTCCGAAAAAATACCGAACAGAGGATGGCCGTTGTGCACATGACTCTCTTGCATGCCAACAGTGCAGACAAACCAAAAGGGCCGGTTATCTCACCGACGTTTGAGAGATGCCAGAGCACATGCTACAATGAGTTCTCAGACATCACACTCAAGGCTATATCCTGAAGTTCGGAGTGTGGCTGTTAATGGTAAAGTGCACTCGTCATTCTTTGCGGACTAAGGTCAGCCCGCATGAGAAAAAGGAAAATAATAAAAACAAAAATGCGAAGCCCCAAGGAAGTGCCCCAGAGAGTGGTGCGGTAGAAAGAGCCGATATCTCTGGATTTTCCAAAAAATCTTTGCAAATGATAGGTCCAATGACAACCGTGTGATCAGCAGCTCAGAAAAAAAACTTAAGTGGACCTGTTCTATTAGTAAATGCATATCCAACCCCACACGAATTCTTTTCTGTCTATATAGCCAAAACTCTATAGATCCTTCAATTCGTATCGTGTCAATCAAGCTCCAAATTCAGACGTCTTTCGCATTCTCTCTAATACCACATTTTCGGTTCTATTTCCACGCTAGTATTTTACTTGCATGATTACAAGATCAATCGTCTTTTGAGCCAAATGTCCCGCTAGGGCGGTGTATTTTCGCTTCGGGTCTATAGAATTAGGCGGTGTGTTAGTGCTACTATGGTATGGTGTTCCGAACAAGCTATCGACTATCTCAGGTAATACTATGTTACTACAAGTCACGAAGCCGCGAATCTAAAAAAAAAAAAGCACTCAGAAGTGAAGTTCTTTTCGGCCGGGAAGACCCCGGGAGTCCGCTTCATTTTGAATACATTACTAACAACAAATATCTGTGGCAAATACGGGAGAAGTATCATAAATATCGGTTTCACAACCATCAGCATTGTTTGTCCAATACACCCGCGTGAATGGTGCATAGTTCTAGGCCGATCTGGACTAGACCTTTCAAATCTGCAACCAACGATTGCGCATGTAAGATTCCTAAACCCCTCCCTTGGGCTGACATGCTTCCTGCGGGGGCAACGACACGTGTACAAGGTGTGATGGTTAGTTGGACAAATGACGCATTTTTGTAAGACATATGCATATGCAAATGTATTATTATTATTTTTTCCCCCACTGATTTCGAGCAAATGCCCAGCATACAATGCAGATTATTCGTCTCTTTCGGAGAATTCGCAGCCTTGCTGCAAGAAAGCCCAAGGAACCGAAGAAGACGAAGCAAAAGAACTTGGGAGTATGGTTATCCCTCAATCAATCACTGACCGTTTTCGACGAAGATACTCGCTTCTGGTGGGAAACGACCGGGCCCATTCTTGCGCGCATGATGGAAATCATTGGATACGACCAAGATACACAGCATAAACATTTACTGTTTTACTACATGTATATTCTGCCAGCCCTTGGTAGGAGACCCTCACCCGAAGGCCAGCCCAATGGGTGGGAAAGCTTCATGACAGACGACTGCTCCCCTCTTGAATTGAGTTGGGAATGGGGCATGTCAGCCGGAGAGTCACGCGTTCGCTTCTCCATAGAGCCAATCGGCAAAGATGCGGGTGACTCAGCCGATCCTCTGAACGAGAAGATGGTATTCCAACTTATCGATACGCTCCGGCCAGCATTCCACAAGAGTCTGGACTTGACCATTTTCGACGCATTCTCCGAGGCTCTGACCACAACCCATGAAAAACTCAACACAAAACATATTTCGGTAAACGGGCGTTCACAGCACTTTGTTGCTTTCGACCTCGATGTCGGAACTCCGTCTTTGAAGGCTTACTTTATCCCTGGCCTGAAGGCGGTCGAGACAGATACGCCGGTTCCCGAACTGGTGGTCCAAGCAATCAACTCATGCAAGGCGCATCTTGGATCTATCTTCATGAACAACTTTCGCAGGTTCAACTCCGACCTGACGACGTTCTCCAAAACCAGCCCAAGTCGTCCCCAGATTGAAATCATTGGCATCGACTGTGTCGTCCCCGTCAAATCACGAGTCAAGATCTACGTCCGCCATAGAGAAACATCTTTCGACAGCGTATGTCGAATGCTTTCACTGGGCACCAGTAAACCCCTCGACCCTGCTTTGTTGGCTAGCTTGCGCGAATTGTGGTCTCTGGTCCTTGGTCTGCCAGAAAACTTTCCCTCGGGTCAAGAACTGCCGAACATCCCGCACAGAACCTCGGGTATCCTCTACTACTTCGAAATCAAACCCACCTCATACGATATAGTTCCAAAGGTGTATATCCCTGTACGTCATTATGCCAAGAACGATCTCTCCATTGCCCAGGGGTTAGCCACGTACTTTGAGCGTCGCGGACAGTCTGCGACAGCGGATAAATACGTGCAAGCACTTTCAAATATCTTGTAAGTAACGCATGCTGAGCGTTCGCATTCATAGCTAACCGTCATTTCAGTTCACATAGATCTCTCGACTCTGCACTTGGCCTGCATACCTATATCACATGCGCGTTTAAGAAGACAGGGCTGTCTGTGACTTCCTACTTCAACCCGGAGATTTACCACCCAAATCGGTACATCTCACGACGGTAGTGTAAGGCGGTTTTTCTATATCTCCTCTCTCATTTTGTACTTTCTTATGTTTAGCATATCTGCATCTCAACCCACGAGTTGATTTTTCCTGGAGACCCATATGTATGAATAGTTGCATAGCGGATGGTGTTGCATAACGAATGGTGGTGTATAACGGATGGTGCTACATGATCCTTTCATTTAAGTTGTATAGTCTTTGTAGTCTCTTTATCAAACTTCCTCATGTTGAAATTGTAGTATACTGTGTTGGAAACGCCGTGAGAGGATGTGATATATGGACATTAGACTGTGCCACTCGCTGACGTGCAAGTCGGTCGGATATAGCTTGATAAGTATGAACAACTTATCTGAATGAGGATAAAAAAAGTCGAAATCGAGTTGTACTATATTTACGAATTGTTGAAACCTGTTGTGGCTGCTCCACGACTGACACTCAGTGCAAGGGCCCAATGCCAGATATCTATCAACCCAGCATTGCGTCCAAGAAGGATGCGTTTGTAAGTCCGAAATCGAAATACGCCCTCTCAGAAACCCAATATGAGAGTCACACCGTCTTTTAGATCGTGATGACGTGCTTCCGGATACGAGGAAGATGACTACTGCTAATGCGGTCGTTACGGGTTACAGGGGAGAAGCAGGGATGACCGTTGTACGGCTTAGCAAGCGTACTGTTTAGCACTACACTAAACTTGTCACGCTTTAGGCCTTACAAAAGGCCCTGCGATTTCTGCATGTTCGATCTGCCCACGTGGAACCCTAGATGCTAGATTCCTCAACAATCCGGGCTCCCTGGTGCCCTGGCCAGTAGTACCTGAAAGAGCCGAAAATTCACGGTTGCTACAAAATGTGGTACAATTCGCGTGATTTGTGCAATGACAAAGGAGCGTCACTTACGACAATCTAGCATTTCTCAAAAGAACTAGTTTTACTAGCGCCGTAAATCAGCGCCAAGCGAAGGCTGTAGTATGTGGATCGGGATTTTTACTAACGAGGCGCTATCATACGCAGGGCACTGTACCGTTACCCACTAAACAACAACTTCCCCAAAACGAAACCAGCAAAGTAGATGAATAGCAGGAAGAGAACCCATTCCAGAGAAAAACTTACTACATCCGAAAAAGACTGCAACTCAGAAACCCGAATAACCTGTCGGCCGACATTAAGCGGAATCTCATGTACACCCTTACCTCTCCCTCTCTCCCCATCTCTCCCATCACCCAGTATCCAACAAACCCCTCTGACCATAATCCCAAATACCCTCACGATTCTTTAGTTCAAACTGCACCAGCCCATCCACATTAGCCCTCCATCCCATTTCACATTCCCCACGTTCCTTCTAAGAATTCGGTAACCTCGGTCCGCGCCCACGAGCCCCGCACGTACTCGCCAAACACGATTCGGCTTTCACCCGTACCACACCCTTACACTAAACGCAAAGCAGTTAAATCGGGCATGCTTTACCTGATGTCGATACTGCTTTGGTAGTAGAGCGTGCGGAGAGCCGAGGGGATAGAGTGATGCTTCACACGAGGTTGGATGAGAGGTGGGATGGGCGCAGCGTTGTGATTACTGTATTGAGACTAGGGGAGAGTATCTAAATGCATAAAATGTAATTTACTGGAATCGATAAAAGGCAGAGAGGATACTTAAGATCCGTCGCTTCGCAGAGAACGAGAGAAGAAAAGGTAGTGGTAAAGTTGTGCTGATACAATATGCCGGCACTATACAAAAGTTCTAACACATCTCTAGGTCAACCTGGGTAGCTAGCTAACTCCAAAGCCAAAAAAGCAACAATGCCCATAAAATCCCGCTTCACAGTCCCCATCCCCCAAGTCTCCCTCCCAACCTACATTTTCGACTCTCCCACCTCCCCGCTACCCAAAACACCGATTCTCATCTCCGCGGCAAACCCAGAGTCCCATTTCCTCTCGCTGCACGACCACCGGCAGTATGCAAAGCGCTTCGCATCGGGTCTGCTGCGCGCAGGACTGCAGCCGGGGGATCGCGTGCTGCTCTTCTCGTCGAACACGCTATTCTTCCCTGCCGTGGTAATGGGTACGATAATGGCCGAGGGCATCTTCACGGGCGCAAATCCAACCTACGTAACTCGGGAGTTGGCATATCAACTGCAAGACAGCGGGGCGCGGTATCTAATCTGCGCGGAAGCCAGTCTCGACACGGGGATTGCAGCCGCGAAAGCAGTCGGGTTGAGTGCGGATCGGATTTTTGTTTTCGACGATGGGACTGCGACGTTTGAAGGTAGAAAGGTCGAACGGGACTCGGAGCTGGGACGCATTCGGCACTGGACGGAGCTACTGGATACGCCGGAACATGGCGATGCATATGCGTGGCCGGAGCTGAGCACCGCGGAGGAGCTGGATCGCGTTGTTGCGCTGAATTACTCGTCGGGCACGACGGGCATGGCGAAAGGCGTGATGATTACGCATAGAAACTACATTTCAAATTGCGTTCAGCAGTTGTACCTTCCAGAACAAGAGGAGGGGTGGCAAGAGTCGTTGCCGCGAAGAAGGTATCTCATTTTCCTGCCCATGTACCATGCCATGGCGCAATCCTGGTTCTGCATGGGTGCCTTGAAGCAGCGGATCCCAGTATACATGATGATCAGGTTTGATCTGCTGCAGATGCTAGAGTACGTGCAGAAATACCGAATTACGGATCTCGTCTTGGTACCGCCTATCCTTGTACTTATGGCCAAGCACCCTGCAACCAGGGATTTTGACCTGAGTTCAGTGGAGAGCGTAACTTCTGGCGCTGCTCCTCTCGGCGGCCAAATCAAGCAAGAGTTTGAGCGCCTTTGGACACCAGGCAAGATCAGCGTCAGAAATGGGTGGGGCATGACGGAACTCACATGCGTCGGCTGTAACCACTATCCCTCGGCCCGGTATCCCAGTTCCTCCGTAGGAGAACTGTATCCGAACCTCGAGGCAAAGATCGTAGTGGATGACCAAGGCCAGGTTGAAGCTCCTCAAGGTGAACAGGGTGAAATCTGGATGCGCGGCCCCAATGTCATGAAGGGGTACTGGAAGAAGCCCGAAGCGACAAAAGAGACCATCACACCGGACGGGTGGTTGAAGACTGGAGATTCAGCATACGTGGATGCCAATCAGCACATTCATATCGTAGACAGAAAGAAGGAATTGATCAAGGTCAAGGGACTACAGGTTGCGCCTGCTGAGCTGGAGGCATTGTTGTTGGATCATCCCCAGGTACAAGATGCTGCTGTCATCGGGGTACAGGCGTAAGTTTTGCAGTCACATGTAGATACACCTGCTAATCATGGTCAGCGAGGATACCGAATTGCCACGCGCATACATTGTGCTTCGGTCTTTTGTCAATGCAACGCCGGAAATGGCGGAAAATATCAAAGCATGGCTGGCAGAGCGTGTCTCAAAGTACAAGCGACTGGAAGGCGGCGTGCACTTTGTCGATGCGATACCCAAGAACCCGTCTGGAAAGATTTTAAGGAAAGAATTGAGGAGCAAGGCTGCGCAGGAAGACTCTAAACCAAAGCTGTAAACAGTCGACTACACATATGTATCTGTCTCTGTCTATACAGGCCATCGCAATTCTGTAATAAATATCGATTACAGTCTTGCTTTAGCGTAAGTTTGGATTGCAGTGCTGATCAAGCCTGTCTCGTGGTACTCAAAGAAGGCGCCAAGTTGCTGCCATGTCCTCAAGTCATGGCGTCATGTCTGGTAGCCTTTGAGTGTCTTCAGTCCTGAAATTGCGTGTCCTCTGCTGCTTCGGTATATACATGCAGCGGCATCCGCTCATGACTGTCGTTTCCGTAATCTACCCTGAATGGGCACCTGCCAACGCTCTAATTGCTTCGCTCTCCGCCCTTGGCCGCCCTCAGCTCATCCATCTTCTTCACGCGCTCCTTGAACTCCTCGTACTGGCACTTCTCGTACGAGTGTCGCTCATTCTGTCCAATGTAGTCAGTCAGTCTGCGGCTCCCCCCACGTACACGGGAAATGGGCTTTTCCGCACCTCGCACTTCCATGGTAGGTAGTACTCCTCGTACCGACACCGGTTCAGCGGAATCAAAAGGTGTGCGCATGAATCTCTGTAGGGCAGGGGCAGCTTAGCAGCGCTCATCTCCTCACGGGTAGCCTCTGTGCGGTTGTCAGTGTCTGGTATGCGAAGCCAATTACACCTGGATACGTGGGCGCACTCACTCCGGGGCTCGCCGAGGCCGATGGCATGCTTGATGGAGTCTGTGACAGTCATAATGGCGGCCCAGGGTGGTGTTTGTCGTCAATGGCACGCAGGACGAGGGGAAAGTGGTGGGCGGGAGCGTCGTTTGCGGGCGAAGTTGCTTAGGTTCACTGCGGTCGGCAAAGGGAAGCTGCCACCGACCGACCCCGATGCTTGGCAGGGCAGGGCAGGCGCGACCGCGGCCCTTGCAACGCGACTTCCCCCCAGGTCTGACGCGAACTGCAGACACGCCTTCACGAAATCACTTGACACGCCTGCAAGACGCCGCTTGTGCTTTACTGAATGGTGAAAATGCCCCCGGCGCCCGATGGCAAAATATATTCGGCGACCTACAGTAATGTGCGTAGCGACAACCCGCCCTCTGCCTACCGAATGTCCCTCGATGCTTCTTGATTGCCATAGCTACTACCATCACTCCACCTCAGCCTCCATGCTAACACTCGCCCCAGGTCCCCGTCTATGAGTGCAATGTCAACGGCCACCATGTCATGCGCCGCCGCGCTGATGACTGGATCAATGCTACACATATTCTCAAAGTAGCCGACTACGACAAGCCGGCGCGAACCCGTATCCTGGAGCGCGAGGTGCAAAAGGGCGTGCATGAGAAGGTGCAGGGTGGATATGGCAAATACCAGGGCACATGGATACCGCTCGAGGAAGGGCGCGGGCTTGCGGAGCGCAACGGCGTACTGGACAAGATGCGCGCCATCTTCGACTATGTGCCAGGCGACAGGAGCCCGCCTCCTGCGCCTAAGCATGCCACGGCTGCGTCGAATCGCATGAAGCCACCCAGGCAGACGGCAGCAGCGGTGGCTGCGGCGGCTGTGGCTGCTGCGGCTGCTGCGGCTGCGGCTGCGAATCACAATGGTAAATTTGTCCATTTGCTTGAATCTATCCAGTCTCCTGTTGATGCAACCATGTGAGAAAATTTGCGCTGATGTATCGTCCAGCAATCATGAGCAATTCCCGGTCGCAAGCCAGTGAAGACCCATATGAAAACTCGCAGAGGTCGCAGATCTACCGCGAGGACACACCGGACAACGAGACAGTGATTTCAGAGTCGATGCTGGGTGACGCCGATCTAATGGATATGTCGCAATATTCTGCCGACGGCAACAGAAAGCGGAAGAGGGGGATGGACCAAATGTCTTTACTAGACCAGCAACACCAAATATGGGCAGACCAGCTGCTGGATTACTTTATGCTCTTGGACCACGAAGCAGCCGTGTCGTGGCCGGAACCACCGCCAAGCATCAATCTAGACCGACCGATTGACGAAAAGGGACATGCGGCAATGCACTGGGCAGCGGCCATGGGTGATGTCGGTGTGGTCAAAGAGCTGATACATCGAGGAGCACGTTTAGACTGTCTATCGAACAACTTGGAGACGCCTCTGATGCGCGCCGTCATGTTCACCAACAACTTCGACAAGGAGACGATGCCGAGTATGGTCAAGATATTCCAGCAAACAGTACACAGGACAGATTGGTTTGGCAGTACCGTTTTCCACCACATTGCAGCGACTACAAGCAGTTCGAACAAGTATGTTTGTGCGAGATGGTATCTCGACTGCATCATCAACAAGCTCTCGGAAACGTGGATACCGGAAGAGGTCACGAGGCTTTTGAATGCAGCGGACCAGAACGGCGACACGGCCATTATGATTGCTGCACGTAACGGTGCGAGGAAGTGCGTACGAAGCCTATTAGGACGAAACGTAGCAGTAGACATTCCGAACAAGAAGGGCGAGACTGCCGACGACCTGATCCGAGAGCTCAACCAAAGACGACGTATGCATGGCCGAACGCGGCAGGCCTCGTCATCACCGTTTGCGCCAGCACCAGAGCACCGACTGAACGGACATGTTCCCCACTTTGACGGTGGGCCATTGATGTCGGTACCCGTTCCTAGTATGGCAGTTCGTGAGTCAGTGCAGTATCGGTCACAGACTGCTTCACACTTGATGACCAAAGTGGCGCCCACGCTGCTAGAAAAGTGCGAGGAACTAGCGGCGGCATACGAGGCAGAGTTACAAGAGAAGGAAGCAGAGTTTTTCGACGCCGAACGTGTAGTCAAGAGGCGGCAAGCAGAGCTAGAGGCTGTACGGAAGCAAGTAGCAGAGCTGCAGAGCATGTCAAAGGGGCTGCATATTGATCTCAATGACGAAGAGGCGGAGCGGCAACAAGAAGATGAGCTGCGGCTACTGGTAGAAGAAGCAGAATCGCTCTTGGAGATTGAACAAAAGGCGGAGCTGCGGCGACTGTGCAGCAGCATGCCGCAGCAAAACAGCGATAGTTCGCCAGTGGACATTACGGAGAAGATGCGTCTGGCGCTACTACTGCACCGAGCACAGCTGGAGCGGAGAGAGCTGGTCAGAGAAGTGGTGGGCAACTTGAGCGTGGCGGGCATGAGCGAGAAGCAGGGCACGTACAAGAAGCTGATTGCAAAAGCACTAGGGGAGCGGGAAGAGGACGTTGAGTCGATGCTGCCCGAGATCCTGCAGGAGTTGGAAGAGGCAGAGACGCAAGAGCGGGCCGAAGGACTAGATGGTAGCCCGGTGTGATTCGAGCGACCTGGTCAGATGCCTGCCACCGATGTTTTTTGATTCCCCCCGGCGCATTCTTTCTTGGTTGTTGGGCTATGGTTTAGGGAGGACGGATGGGGTAACGAGCATTTTACGACCGAGATAACAGAACTGCTAGTTCCTAATGGACGCACGGAATCGTGATCACTCTTGTTTCTGTTATCGGTCATGCTGTCATTGTTGGGCTTCAGCACATAGGAGTACGTTGAAAATAACCTGCTGGTGTCCCCCACGGGGCTTGGAGGCTGCTTCTATCTATCTGCACTAGGACAAGCACATCACTTGATGGTGCATGGAGGATGCAGAGTTTGGTCATCTGAGAGACGCGGACAGCAGGCAAGGCCGCTCGTGAAGCTGGGCTGTGATTTGACGATGCATGCAGCTAAAGTATGACGTGATGGCGGCCGGACAGCGGCATGTCACGTCGAATTGCCAAGGGGTTTGGAAGACAAAGAAAGATGCAAAAGGCGGCCGGCGGTATTTGTATGAGGTAAACGATGAGTAACAAGATGGAAAATACAGCTCGAGGCAGACTTGGCTGAGACGGGGAGATTGGATGCGAGGGAAAAGACGCGTAGGCGGCAAGTGGGCTCAGCTGCGATTGGGCCGTGGGGGAGGTGGAGAGTCAGGTCAGCGGAGTTTGCACGGAGGTTACGGCATGCAGGGGGCTTGGCCGTGTTGCAGTAGTACGCGGCTGCGATGCCACCAGGCACCTGAAGACAGATATCGCCAGTCGCCAGTCACGACTACTAAGCATTTGACGCCTGCGCCGGACCCAAGCAAATCAATTCCCACAAAAAGACACCGCCACACGTTCTCTTCCCACCTCCCACGCTGCAGCCCCCCAGGCCCACCCGCCCATCATCACCTGCCACTCACTACGGCCTCTTGCTCTGCCCAACAACCGCCTTATATGCCGGAGTCGATCCCACTCCGCAAGAAACCCCCAGCAACTCCTCGTACCCTCGCCCACACCCTCTCCGACGACTTCAGCCTCGTCTCCGTCTCCAACGCGCGCCATCTCTCGCGCTCACGCTCCTCCTCACGACAGCCGCGCAACCCGGCCCGAGACTTTGACGATTGGGATGACCACGACCCAGCCATGCCCTCCGACCTGAGACCCTCCCTCGAGCGCCCCGATGGCCGCGCCAACTCCCCTCTGCTGGGGCGCAAGACCGAGGACGACACCGTCGACGAGGGTCTGCTGAGCAGGAGCACACACCACTTCCACGAGCGAGACCCAGAGACACAGGCAAAGCTCGAGACACGGAGAAAGTACACGTATGCTGCCTTCCTGCTGGCCCTGAGCCTCATCAGCTTTACCGTGCAGACGGAGACGGCTGTGTACATCCAGCACCAGCTCAAATGGGAGAAGCCATATTGCATGCTGTACATGACCCATGGCTCCTGGGTTGTGCTGTGGCCTGCAACTCTCGCCCTGCTCCGTTTCCAGCATTGGAGCGAGCCCTGGCCGACATTTTGGCGCAGACACGTCCACGTTCTGCGTCAGACGGCCCTCATGGTCCAGCACCAGACGCTCCACCCCACGCCTCGGCAATCCCAAGTCTCACCCGTCCAGTACATGGTGAAGATGACGGCTTTCATTACATGTGCTTTGACTCTTGCAGGAGGCAGTTGGTATGTCGCAGTCAACATGACGACTGCCAGCGACCTGACGGCCATTTACAACTGCTCTGCCTTCTTCGCCTACGCCTTCAGCATCCCCATCCTCCACGAAAAGGTGCGCGCGAGCAAGGTCTTGGCCGTCGCCATTGCCATTGCAGGCGTCTTTGTTGTAGCATACGGCGACCAGGCGCCCGCAAAGCACGGCTCCCAGTCTGGCGGCGGGGCCGGCGGCGACAAGGCGCCGCCTTCACAAGAAGCCGAGAACCGCGCTTTTGGCAACTTGGTCATTGGCGTCGGTAGTGTCTTGTATGGTCTCTACGAGGTCTTGTACAAGCGACTGGCTTGTCCGCCAGAGGGCGCTGCACCAGACAAGGGTGTCATCTTTGCAAATCTGTTTGGTAGCTTGATTGGCACATTTACCTTGAGTGTGCTGTGGATTCCATTACCATTGCTCCACTGGCTGGGCTGGGAAATATTCGAGCTGCCCAAAGGAGAGCAAGCATGGATGATGGCTATTAGTGTTTTGGCAAATGCCAGTACGTCTCCTTTTCTTCTCCTGCGTTCCAGCTTTTCTAGACACATTTGCTAACTTTTGCAACTCTAGCCTTCTCTGGCGCTTTCCTCGCCCTCATTTCCCTTACGTCCCCTGTCCTCTCCTCGGTCGCGGCACTCCTTACTATTTTTATCGTTGCGCTTGTTGACCAGTTGCTTCCTCCGCCACTCAACTCGCCACTTACGCCTGCCGCTATTGTCGGCGGTCTTTTAATCATTGGGGCTTTTAGTCTCTTGTCCTGGGCTTCGTACAAGGAAATGGATGAGGAGCGGAGGCATAAACTTGAAGAGGCTCCTAGCGAGTTGGACGATTAGAAGGGGAGGCTATTTGTTTTCTTCCGTTGGCGTCTTAAAAAAAAAGAGAGGGCGGCTGTATGATGGATTCAGCAGTTTTCTCTTTTGCCTCTGCTTCCTTTCGATCTTCATTCTTCTTGGGTTCACAACAAGGTCATTCGCTTATCGGACCTTTGACCGGTTTCTTGAATCTCGGCCGCGATGTTGTTTTTTTTGCATCTTCGGACATCGTTTTGCAACTTGGAAATTCGCTAGATAGACTACTTATTTTTTAAATCTCTTTTTCTACTAGGCGGCAAACCAAAGGCGGCGGCGTGCAGCATTTGACGAGAAAGAGCATTGATGGGTTGCCCGTTGGCAAATCTACTAGAAAGGCGTTATCCATGGCGTTTTCATACCGGTGCAGACTGGAAAGTCTTGCTATCTTTCTGTTTTTGAAAAGTCTAAAGCTTGGTTCTTCATTGGGGTGTTTTCATCGTTTTGAGTGAGCAAGATGCTGGGTCAGAGATTTAACAAAAGAGAGTGTTTCGGGGGAGATCAAGGTAGAGATTGCCATTGGGAAAAGGAGCTGACAATATGAGATTCTAGAAGAAAACTACATGAAAATAAAGATTGTTGAAAGATTTGGCAGGCCCAAAGGGGACATAGGACGAATATATAGCATGTCTCTATTCTCAAGTGAGGATAAACATGGGGTGCAAAAGAGTGGGATAGCCGAAGAGTAACGGAGGCAACAGTACACACACTAGCCATCAGACAATGTTCGCGAAGTTTCGATACACTGCCCTGGCGTACATGTCAAACCCTTGGTGTGGCATCGCAACGGCGTAGGGCGGCGCCCTGACCCGCTCCTCTCCTCTATCTTAGATATGTACATTAGCATCATAGCACAAACACATATCTTCAACCTGAACATACTCACTACAACACCATGACACAAACACAGCCCGCCGCACCACCCGATCTCAGCGCCAAACTCCCAAAGCTCATTCCACGCAGACGCGCCCCCACGACGCGAGAACCGCCCTCTGCCCCTCCCCCACCGACACCCTCGCTCCCCGCGCCCCCAAACCTAGCGCAGCACACGTACGTCCGCCCGTCGCGCCGCATCCTCAGTCCACAAGACCACGAGCTCTTCCTGCATAGCGAAACATGCACACTCGTCGAAGCCTTCATCTTCGGCATCGCCGACGCCGTGCGCGATAGAAGTATATCAAGCGTGCGCGACGGCGACGAAGCAACCACGACAATCAAAGCCATCGTCTCGATCCTCCGCTCCGCCGAAGAAGTCCTCTCAACATGCCCGCCCGAAGATACAGGCTCCCGCTTCGGAAACCCCATGTTCCGCTCTTTCCTCGACAAGCTCGAAAAAGCGCTGCCAGCCTGGCACGAGCAACTGGGTCTACACGACAGCGCGCAAGTCGAAGAAGTATCAACGTACCTCCGCCACTCCTTTGGCAACCGCCAACGCATCGACTACGGCTCAGGACATGAACTCAACTTCTTCCTCTGGCTCCTGTGCCTCAATCGACTCGGCTACCTGCCCCCGCCCACCTTCGCCGCCCTCGCCCTCGTCGTCCTCCCCGCCTACCTGCGCCTCATGCGCCGCATCCAAGAAGCATACTACCTCGAACCCGCAGGCTCCCACGGCGTCTGGGGCCTCGACGACTACCAATTCCTGCCCTTCCTCTTCGGCGCAGCACAGCTCCTGCATCACCCCTACATCACGCCCAAATCCATCCACAACGCGCTGGTGCTGGAGGAGGAAGCCAAGGAGTTTCTGTACCTCGACCAGATTGCGTTTGTGAATAGCGTCAAGAATGTCGAGGGCCTGCGCTGGCATTCGCCCATGCTCGACGATATTTCCTCGGCAAAGAATTGGGCCAAGATTGAGGCGGGCATGCGCAAAATGTTTCGCAAGGAGATTCTAGAAAAGTTGCCGGTCATGCAGCATTTCTTGTTTGGGAGCCTGGTGCCTGCCGTCGAGGGCATGAGTGTCGAGGACGAGGCGGACAAGGACAAGGAAGACGAGGGCGCCGAGGCCGGAGAGGTACAGGTGTTTGATGATGAGGCTGGTAAGAGACATGTGCATGCGAGTGTGGGCTGGGGCGACTGTTGTGGTATTCGTGTACCCGCGGCTGTAGGAGCGGAGGGCGAGGCGAGGAAAGGTGGTGCGAGGGGCTTGAGGAGAGTGCCGTTTGATTGAGACTATCATTATGACATGAAGTAGACTGGCGTGTTTTTTTTTTGTGATACGAATACCCAAATGAAAGAAACAGGCTGTCAATCACCTTGGCGTAAACATGTTCATACCAACAAGAAACCCTCTTAAATCCAACAATTAAGCATTCAATCTATTACCTTTTATGTTGCATATTCAGTGGTATCAGTGCCTTCTCTCTTCCTCCTCCCCTCTTTCCCCCCACCCGTTCCTTCCCATCCCCAACTTATTTCTTACTCAACTCCTTCTCGATCTCGGCCTTGAGATCCTCAGGCTTCTTGGTGCTCGCCCACCGTCCCTTGACCTTGCCATCGCGTCCGATGAGGAACTTTTCAAAGTTCCACTTGACACGCTTGAGGCCCATGAGGCCGGGCTTCTCGTTCTTGAGCCATTCGAAGGCGGGGTCTGCGGTTGAGCCGTTGACCTATTCAATCACACGTACGTTAGTAATCATTCCGAAATATATTTCTTGGTAATCTTGTATGGTTGTGTTTCCCGCGGCACAAGCAAAAAAAATGGCAGCGGCACCGTGAGGAAGAGGGGGGGGGAAGGAGGGATAACTTACATCAATCTTTCCTAGCACCGGAAAACTAACACCATAGTTCACCTGGCAAAACTCCTGAATCTCCTCATTTGTTCCGGGGTCCTGACCGCCAAACTGGTTGCATGGGAAACCGAGGATTTCAAAGTCATCCGGGTATTTGGACTTGATGTCCTTGTAGAGTTTCTCGAGGCCTTCGAATTGAGGAGTGAAGCCGCACTTGGAGGCCGTGTTTACGACGAGGACGACTTTGTTGGAGAGTTGGGAGAGATCGTAGGGTTGGCCCTTTTCTGTGAGGGGAGGCGGGTTAGCGGGGGAAGGGAGGCGTGGCGGAAGAGAGAGAGAGGACAGCATGTTGTGTGTATACATGTACTTTGCAGGAACAGCGAGTTTCTGTTTCCTCTTCTTCGTGTACATGCTCGAGGTAGAGTACAGTGGAGAGGGAGAGAAAGGGCAAAACTCACTATCCTTGGGCTTGAACTCGTAAAAGCTCGTCGCAGAAGCCATGGTCGCGTATTCTCTTTTCTTGCAGCTCGCAGTAGTAACAGTACTTCTCTCGTAAAGCTCAGGCGATCTAACAACAGCACCGGTACGTGTTGCAGCGAAAAAGGTATTCGTAGCTGTAGAGGTAGCAGGCCGATGCGAGGTTAATAAGCCGGGCGGCACCCTCGACCGAGCAACAAGCTCATCACAACGCGGGGCAGTGCTCAAGCTTCTCGCCCCTCGCCGGATTCCTAATCCCACTCCGCCCGCCGCTCTGCACCACCACACCCACCGGACATGTGACACCACCACCGCCGCCGCCGTACCAGCCGCACCCTCGGACATCCTTCCCAACACCAGCATGCTCTCGCTATTCCAACCCGTACTGTATCACCAATGACTCCGTGGTAGTAATATCCGGAGCTGAATCGAACTACTGACGGGCGGTCCGGACCCTTTGAGCTGACAAAAAGAGGCGTGATTCCCAAAATGGCCCGTTCGGACGATTTGGCAAGCACGCAAAACGCACGATATGGGGTGTGTGCGTGACGGAACACCGCGATGGCGCTTTCTCCCCGCTGTCCGCCAGCAAAAAAAACAAAGTCGGCCGAGGTATCGGCTAGGGAAGGGGGAAAATTGCAGCGCAACCTGACTCTCTATCGTAGTAGTTGCGTGCGTATGCGTAGATGTAGATGGGCTCAGGGCAGTCATTCAACTGAATTCGCGGTTTATGGGTGGAATCCACATGCTGCGTGCATGCGTGGTAGCATGTAACATCAGGCATGCACATATGTAACGGACTAACAAAAAAGGCGTGATAACTCGTGGTGCGCCTTTGATCCTGGCGCAGAGTGAATGACGTAGTGAGGGCTGGTGATTTGATTGCTGCATTAGGGCCGAGCCTTGAACAAAAACCTTGCTGGGCGATAAGCTAGGATTCGGTCCGACTGCGTACGCTGCATGCATGTGGGGAGAGGGGCACTCGAGGGGCACATACGCACACACATCCGGTGAGTGACAGAGGTTCACGTTAGGATACAACACAATACACGCTTTCGCCCATACAACTCGTGTGCATTGGATGAGAATTAAACAAACAAACGCCCCTCTATTAAATATACAAAGTACAATGGGAGGAGGGGCCACCAACTTCCGCAGAGCGGGCAATGATGGCCAATACAAGACTGACCTCTCTGAATGGTCACCTCCTCCCTTCCCAATCCTAGTCTAGATGCCATTCGACGCCGCAAATACAATAACAAGAAAATACAAAACTACAGCCTGATGACAGGCTCCTCCGTTAACATCGGATCAATCAATCTCGCACGTCGACCAAGACTCATGCCAACCATATTGCAATGAGTAAGGACCGCAGTCCATCTCCCCTCAAAGGGGTTCTCAGCTGTCGCCTTAACGGCAGACCAGCAATCCTTCGGCTTCCGAGTCCACGGCTGGGACAAAATCCTTGGGCTTATGCATCCTGTGGCTTGTATCCGGCAATGTTCATCCATCCAGGGTCATGGGCATCCAGAGACTTGTGGCAAGTCTTGATCCTTCATCCGCTAGGCATGCGGGAATCCCATCCGGCTTTTAGAGAACGCGGAAAAGCAAAAACGCAAAAGTGCATGTGTTGAAAAAAAAGAGCAAGAGCAGAGGGGTCCTTGGGTAAACGACAAACCTACTTGGATGCGTCACGGCAGACCGACTCTACCAGAGGTATCCTTCCTTCAGCCACCAAAGACATCCCGGTACTGAGTGCAAATGTCGTGAAGGCCGACAACCTCCTTTGTCAGCTGGATATCGTCACCGAGGTCGCTTGGGTTGCTCAGGTTGGTAAGCACCTCGATGATGTGCTGCTTCTTGGCAAGGAACTCCTTGGAGAGCGCCTCGCGACGTTGCTGGCGTTGTTGCTCAGCAGTAAGCTTGACAACCTTGGCACGCTTCTCTCCAGACTCCTCGGCCGACGCCTTGCGCTTGCGCGAGGAAGACTTGCGAGTAGCTTGTCCTTGTACAGGTGGTGAGGGCTCAGTCGTGGGCCCATCGTACTGGTGGACTCGCTTCATGTGGTCAAAGAGGTTGTAGCGACGAGGGAAGCCGTGGCCAGGCACCGCTCTCTCGCAGTCTCTGAAGTGGCACAAGTGTGGCCGAGCGCCGTGACCGTGCATACCGTGCGCCTCGCGCTCGTGGCGGAGAAGGCATGCAGTAGAAGAGAACTGCACACCTACACAGGTCTTCTTGTTGCAACGGAAGGGCTTGAGGTGAGAGTCGACGTACTTGCTAGAAACAGTTTAGACACGTATCATAAAGCAAGGCGGACAGTGTACGACTTACTCGTAGTTGCACTTCAAAGCGGTTGGCTTGTGGCTGCACCCAGCCTTGCCCTCCTCGGGGCAGTGGTACTTGCCATCCTTGTCTGGCGTTTGTTGGTACAGTGGGTGGCTGCGAGCAACCTTTGTACGCTCCTCCTCGAGCTTGGTGTCAGCGACCTCGGACTGAGAGAGTGTGTCTTCGTGTCCGTCTAATGACTGAGGTGCAGAGGCTGCCTTCATGTCCTCGTTCTCGTTGCTTTGGGAAGGGTTAGCGAACATACTTGGTAAAAGGAAAAGGATATCTACCGAGACTCGACAAGTCTGGACTGGTCAAGGTCCACCGTAGGGAAGTGTACACTGGTGGTGCTAGTCGGGGTAGCGACGAATGCACCAAAGGTCGAATCCTGTGTAGATGCTCGCCTAGACTCTTGCTGGAAGCCGTATGATGAGTAGCGTGCTGCAGAAGGGCGCTCAGAAGCATCAAGAGAAGCATTCTGCCAGTTGCGCTGAGAAGTGGGGGTGCTGAACATGGCATCGTTGGTGTTGTGTGATGGCCATGAAGAGAATGGGAAGGTGTTGTTCTGGAAGTGGGTGTCGGCACTTGGCCAGTGCGGCGAGCCGCTGATGGATGAGGGTGTGAATCGTGTCATGTTGCATGTTGTGTACTGGGTGTAGTCCTGAGCAGTAGAGTAATTAGCATAAGCGAGGGGACCATCCGTGGGTTCCCATGATCCGGAAGTGGATGTTTGTTGCACGTGGCTCATGTCCAGGGTGTCAGGGAAAGCACTGAAGTTGTCCGAGCTCATTGTCGGTGAGTAAATGTCGCTGCCAACAAAGTGGCTGCTCATCTGGCTCTCCTGGCGGTTCATCTCTGGCTTCCTGGGTCCGCGCCGGCTGGCGCCGCTCTGGCTCTGGTATGCACTGTCCATGCTGCACTCAGAAACAGTATCCTTTAGTTCAAAGAAGTCTGATGTGCTCATGTCCTGGAAATCTGAAGAGAAAGGAAAGTCCGGTGCGGAAACAACAGGTGCAGGGATCTCCTTTCTCCACTCAGTAATGTTTGAGATGTAGAATGCGGGCTCCGGTGGTGAATCGAAGAAAGAGTCGCTAGACGCCAGAGTCAGTACCAAACACGCGTTCACGGCAAACCTGAATGATGAAAGAACAATTGAAAACAAAGGAAAACGCCATGTTAGTACAGTAGCCAGAAGGAAACCTGTGCAAAGCGTCACGTTAGCAAAGATCAGTAGGTGAGAGACATGGTGGTGAGCACGCACCTCAAGGAGCCAGTAAGGTCAGCATCATTGGCCATAGCATGTCCAGGTTGACGTATCCACGTTGGAGCCAGAATGGTTCGACCAGTAGCATGATAGTGTTCCCAAGTCGAGTACTTAGCAGATATCCAGGTCCAGTAGAAGCAGTTCACAGAAAACCAGGGCCAACTCATCCAGAACAACAGGTGCTCCTTTGACCACGCTCAAGTTAGTTTTCGATCAATGGGTCGGTAAGGATAGGCAAACTCTAGCCCATGTACGTACTTCATGTCCGACCAAAGAATCTCCATACCCAAGACCGTGGCCGGTCTGGGCTAGCGCGTCCAGGTCATGGTCCAGCACGTGATCTTGCATAAAAGTCACGTGTTCCATGGGCTGATCCTTGGTACATGGTCCATGGCTTGGCGTCCTTTGGGAAAGCGTACACTCTAATTACCAGTCGCCTGTCGTTTAGCCTAGTTGAACAGCAATAGAGAACGACATTGTCGGAAGGTGTCTACGTAATCCTGACGGCAATGCAGGGCTGCATGCCGTTTGTCGCACAAGAATTTTGATCCAGTGTGGTGTTGGGCATCATTAGCGAGGATCCACTCTCGTATGTTCACCGCCGTTTCGAGAGCTCTGCATTTTAGCTCTGAATCGGGGGCATCGAGGCCTCGTGATGGTCGTGTCTACAAACACCGCAAGGGCAGTGTGCTACGTGTCTCGTATCCTGGGAAGATAATCCTTGGGGGAAATGTGATCCTGGTAAAACTGAAGAAAAGTGGCCTTGTGGTTGTCCTTTACCGGGGCGGTAAATCCTCTGGAAGGTATCCTGTGGCATCCTTTTGGGAGATCCATCTGGGGCTGTAGTGGCGGCGAACAGAAACAGAAGAAAAATCAAACAGTAGGAAAGAAACACATGATTGTAGCAAGACAGGCGGTAGCGTAACGGTAAGACTGGAAGGAAAAGGTGAAGGTCAAAGCAAAACAAGTTGGGGGAGGAAACCGTTGGGCAGTAAGTACCTGGATAGGGCTCCGTCTGGGCTCCGAATTGTCATCCTGAGCAAGGGCTCTTGTTTTTTTGATGTTGTATGTGTCGTATTGGACAGATCAAGCAAACGTCGCAAAGAAAGATTGCTAAGGTAGCTTGTTTGCAGCGCGATGGCAGTGGTTGAGAGTAAAAGCTGTGGTGTTGAGGAGGAAAGAAGGAAGCGAGGGAGCTGAGAATATGCGGGTGCGGACTTGGGTTGCTGACGGGATGGTGGCTTGGTTTGAGTGCCAACGCATAGGAGAAGGCCCCACACGCAAGTGCCGCGAGCAAATGTCTTCGGCGGTTTGGAAGCCAATGGGATGAATTTGCGTGCGTGGCCGGGTTGGGAGAGATGCACTTCTTATCACCCCGAGTCAAGCGCTAACGTCACAGAATTTGCGCTCGGTTCACGAGTCACCCTTGGCCGCTCTCGCGATTCACAGGCGCTGGACGGGCTTCCGTGTCGGCGTAATACTCTGCTCCTGTCGCTCCCGGCTCGTAATAGGGGATGCTAAATTGAAAAGCCGCCAGGGGCCCGTCGGGGATTGCAGAGGGAGCAGTGATCATCGCGGGTGGCAGCCAACCGCGTGGCCATAGGGACGACGCGATACCACCGTCACACCTGCAAATTCAGGGAACCCGCCAGCCGAACGCGCACACACTGTGGATGCACCCCTCGTCTAGCTCTGCGATCAACAACCACAAAACCTGAACTGCCTGAACTGTGCCAAGGCCACGCTTGCGAACCATCTCAAAAAATAAAAAAACAAAGCAGCGGCGGGCTGAGCTTTACGCAAAATGCGGCAACGCGAGCGCTGCTGCAATAATGCCAACCGTCGTTTTTTTATTGATATGCCACAGCCTGCGGGATACCGGCTGGGTGCTCCCTTCATCCGCCCCATCCGCAGGACGCGGCACACCAGTCCGCCAAATTTCATTTCCCCTGGCCGACCATCATATTGCAGTTGCAATTGCACTCTCTGCATACAGCAGCCAACTGGCCATGCTTCACAGCATACACACACACTTACTTGAACACCTGCATGCATACTTACCGTCATACCATATGTATGTACGCACATTGTACATACACATCTATGCACACTTACGTCCGCCTGACCTGAGCAAACGACCAAATCATCATGTGATGCAGACGTAGGCGGCGGCCACTGGTCCAAGGGAAACCATGCACAGCGTACAACAACATGCAGCCGTGATATACCGTCAGTCCTTTATACGACGCCCCTATTGGCAAACGCCGGCCACCCTCCTTGGCCTATAGCACAGTGCTCAAGGCGACGTGGCTCGTTCGCAGAGAAGTCTATTCAGAGTCAGAACATGTTGTAACAACAGGCGGACAATGGCACAAGTTGGGGTGGTGGCTGTGATCAGATAGGAGCGAAAGACAATGCTGTTTGGTTCCTCAGTGTCCTTTGGACTAAGATGAACTATGCTTTAAAAAATGTGGTATCATCATGCAAGGGGATGGGATTGTTGACCAGCGTCACGTACCTTTGTTGGCCAACGCCATCTTTGCTGCTGCTGCTGCTGCGAGATTGGACCAGAAAACTTCATCTGTTGCCAACGTCGAGGCAGTGATTTGAGTTACACCAAGACAGTTTGCGCAGCATGTGTCGGCTGGCGCATTAAAGGGCGGAGGGCAACTCGCGACACGTGCGGCGGCTAGCAAAAGTATTCCTCATCGGCCCGGCTGTTGTGTATCCGAAAGATCTGCATCAGTAGCTCTCATTGCAATTGCGTCTCTGTCAGGAGACAGCACGCAACCTGTTAACGGCTGGAGGCGGCAAACTCTAAAAAGCGGCAACCACTGCATATGCCAGGAATACGAAGTCGACGGCTCAACGCTGCGCCGAGTCCGGGAGAATTTGCGAAAGTCTGCCCCAAGATTACCTTGCTGAGGATTGAGGAAGAGATTGCTCTGCAGTGCGAGCGCGAAAGACATTTGCACTCGCTTAGCAAAAGCGGTAACGCGCGCTTATTAGTCAGCCACTGACGTCAGTGCAATCAGAGCAACAGACGCAGCCGGGGTTATTCTTCACTCAGCCGCCGACTTGCAATTCCTTAGGGCCTGTTCGGTCGCGCGGTTGCGTTTTTGTTATCAGGTTCAGGCTTCGCTTTACCTAACACGGTATCGTCTTCAAAAATCTAGTCCGAATCTGATAATAGAAACGCAAAACGCAACCGCGCAACCGAACAGGCCCTTGATCACAAGCCGTGCCCGCTAGCACTGGTCATACATACCACGAAATCAACAACAATTTCCAAAGACATGACATCAACGATACCGAGATATGGCTCCTGCGTCTGTACAAAGCTTGGCTGAATGCCGTCGGTGGAAGCTTCTCGATGGTGTCATAGCGTGCCTACAGCGTTATGCGTCCAGGAAGGGTCCCAGTAGCTTTACTTCAAACACATGGTCGAACCCACTGTTGTTGTACTACCCAAAGATCGACAGGTGTACTTAATAGCGGTCGGTCCATCACGAGCGCCGCGATCTGCTTACAAAAACTAGCGCGATCGATACCCCTTCCCCGACTGCACCTCAATACCCCTTAGGATGGACAGAGCCGTATCTGTCATTGAGGTCGCTGGACCTTGCACGCCGTCTTCGACGCCTCAACTATCGTCCAAGATCGGTGTCACGTGCAAACAAACGGTCTGGCCTGCACCCACGCTTTAGATCATCGAGCCACGTCAAGTGGATACATCAGCAGATTATGATTCGCTGCAGAACTCTGATTAGATTTGGCCAACAGAAGCAAGTGCAGCATAGCGCCGTTTGTTTACCATTCATGTCATCGTTACAGATGTTCAGGGTCCAAACTGCACTGTCAGAATGCGGGGGAGGGCTAGACCCTCACTGATTGGTACGATCATGTATCGTCTGCGTAATGGTCATGCCACATGCGATCGTGTGCTCGACAGTATGAGGGCTATTTATCAGCGGTTTGCATCCCCGTTTTCAAAATAACCAATACCCGTAAATCACTCTCAATCACCACATTCAAGCCCAATTTCAACTCTACATACGATTTCTATTCATATCAAATATTGAAGATGTCTTCTCCAATCAACAAGGTCTTTGGCAATGACGCTACCCCAGCCATGCCTGAAGCTCCAAAACAAAACAACGACCGCCGAGCGTCTGATGCCTCTGTCGGATCCGATTCGTTCTTCAATGGTCGCCGAAGGGTATGTCTCTGAAAACTTGGTTAATTGACCAGCCGTGACTGACACCGTGCAGTCTTCCGCAACCCAGCGGTTTGCAAACCTAGAGGCTCTCAAGCGTCGTCAGGATGAGGAGAGCTTGGCCCGGAGACAGTCCTTCCATGATGCATATGGAAAGCCCGGCCTGATTGGTACTTGGTGGAACAAGTATGATTCCCAATCTATCGAGTGCTCCCAAATTCAATACTAACTGTTCTCAGCTTCACCCGTGGACCTATCCAACCTACGACTCAGTCGCAACAATCGAAGGGTGGGTCATCATAAATTTTTGATATTTCAAGTACTTGATATAGCAATGAGATGGGATGCAAGTTCGTGAAGCAAGAAGCAAGAAGGCCAATACGGTTTACTCACCGAGTCGAAAACCAAAAATGATGACACAGAGCGTTTTCGCAAACATGTATTATACCAACATCATGTAAAATCAAAGAAAAACAACGTATAAATGAGCCCATGGATTCAACTGAGACGTGTGTCGATGCGTTAGATCTGAGCTGTGAGTTGCGGCTAAGCGTGGGCCAGTGCGGGGAAGGCCCACCAAGTTGCTATTGGCTGTTGTGAAAGTGACGTTGTGGCTACATGCACCAAATATCCACGAACGAACACCTTTCTTCATTACCACCTTGCGTCCTCCTTGCTGTTGCCTGGTCTGTGCCGCTACTGTTATAATACGCTAGATTCGTAACTGCAATCCTGAAAAATTGCGCAACTACTACTTCCTGGTCTGAGCGCCCCACTACACACTGCACTTCGCCATTTATATCAGGTCGCGTCGCACTCGCAATTCAACGACACCATATCAAAGCAAGCGATGACTGTCAGGTCTCGCTCTCCAGGATTTGGCGATGTTACCAGTATCAACCTTAATCGCCTGCTCTCGAGACTAGAGCGTATAGTATTGGCAGATCCGTCACCAGAGCTGCGAAAGTCCAGTTACGAGCGGGCACGCGTGAGCGCAGTAGGTTGAAACAGATACACCCCATCTGTAGATATGGCTTGCTAAAACCCCCCCAGAATATCGAACATGCGCGCACATTACTCCTCAACCTTGAGCATTCGGCCTCGACAATACCCTCCAAGTCCAAGAAATCGGAACTACAAACCGATCTGCAGCAAAAACGCGAGCTCATAAAGCAGCTAAATCAGCGGATATACGAATTGAATCAGTTAGATGATACTGAGTCGGACGGGTCTGTAGATTCCGATCAAGAAGACGCAGATGAATTTCCTTCATATGCGCCGAGGGTGAAGACAGAGGCTGGACGGGATATCACGACATCGGGGGGAAACAACGAAGCACTCCAAAATGCCGCGCAGGGATTGGCGTCAGAACTACGACGGAGAGGCAAGCCAGAGGCTGACGGAGCCGAATCTGGGGCACAAGTAGCCTCTGGCAATTCTCTTTTTCCTTCAAAACCCGCAACAACGACAGGCGATCCAACCCACGCGCAAACAGAGGCACTCCTGTCGTACGAAAGAAATGAACAGGAAACGCTCACGACAAGCCTCCTCGACATGGCCAAGCTATTGAAGCAACAATCGATAAACTTTTCAAACACACTCGAGGATGACAAGAGCGTGGTAGATCGAGCATTGGCTGGGCTAGACAAGAACACGTTGAATATGGATGCTGCTAGTAGGAGGATGGGCACGCTGCGGAAGATGACTGAAGGCAAGGGTTGGTGGGATAGAATGAGGCTCTATGGCATGATTGCTGGCCTATGGCTGATCGCATTCCTAATTGTATTCGTAGGGCCCAAGGTCCGTTTCTGAAACTGTCCTTGCGGGTAGCGACGTTGTCAGAAAAGAACGATTGGATTTCCATCCATGTCACGAATGTTTCGCAAGCATGAGGGGCGGTGGGCGTGGCACATAGCTCACATGGGCGCGCCAACATCACCATGAGCACCAATGACAGCGTGTCACGCATGAGCTTGGCCAAAATTTCAGTCAACATCCACGGCGCTACGCACTTTGCGCCGAACACGTATCTGCGTGCATACCACGTGGCTCACACGGCAGCCCTGATCCATCTTCACCGCTGAGCCACAGAACTGGACCCTGCGCCCATCTCGCATCCTGCAAGCAGCCGCTTAGCGTCATTGAGCCCCGTCTTATTATGTACCTTGATTCCGCAAAGTGCATCACTCAAGAACAATAATAGCTCAGTATTAATCTATTGCATCCCTTTCCAATTGACATACTCAGTGTCGCAACAAGATGACAGCCATACAAATGACGGCTTTGGGCTCACGCTGTACGTACCCAGCCCCCCATGTTCCTGATCGCGCCTACCCGCAATTGCGACAACAACTAACAAACAGGCCCAGCTCTCAACCACTCCTCTGCCGATGCAGAAGCTGAGTACGACCGCCTTCGCGACCTTGCTCGTCAAGAAGCCGCCAAGCGCTCCTCATGTTTCGACCGCGCGCACCAAGCGTACGAGTCCGGCGATGGCGCTGCCGCCCACGAGCTCTCACAGGAAGGAAAGAAGCACGCCGAAAAGATGGAGCAATACAACCGCCAAGCACGCGACTTCATCTTCCGGGAAAACAATGCCGAGGGGCGCGTTGACAGCGACACAATTGACCTGCACGGTCTCTTCGTAGAAGAAGCAGAAGACGTGCTCGAGGAAAGAATCAGAGTCGCCAGACAACAAGGCCAAACCCACCTCCACATCATCGTCGGCAAGGGCAACCACAGCAAGAACCACGTACAGAAGATCAAACCACGAGTTGAGCAAGTATGCCGCGAACTGGGCCTGGAGTACCGCACCGAGGAAAACGAAGGTAGAATCTTCGTCAACCTCCAGGGCGGCAGCATCGACGAAATGCCGCCGCCGCCACATGCACCGTCAGCTGGATACCCCGGACAGCAGCACCACGGTGGGGCCCCACAACACCATGGCGGTCAACACCAGCAACAGCATGCTGAGCAGCAAAACCAAAACGACGAAATTGAGGAGATGGTTAAGAAGGGGCTGCCCAAGTTGCTCAAGATGCTCAAGTGCTGTACCGTCATGTAAATGCAGCGTGGCGAGGGTTTTACTTGTGTTGGGAGATGTGTCCGTTTCCATTACTTTTTTTTAATAAAGGTGTAAATGATCCAGAAGAAAGGGAACAAAAAATTGGAATAAAAGAAATGGGGAATGAGAAGGAATTTGTATAAAGCGGGAAAGAAGATTGTGATACCCGAGAGACGTTGTTATACGTGGGTAGGGTAGGGTGACACTTTTTACTATCATGCCAGCCGGAGAACCTGTTAGGGGTCTCTCTCCACGTATATATTTTTCTTTCTTTCTTTTAGTTGGGTTGGTATGCGAATGAACAATCACGCCGTATTCGAATGAATTAGTTTTGTTGCTTGTTTTATCATCATGGGGTTTTTCTTTCGACTACTGCTTAACCCATCTCTTTTCCTCGCATTCTTTTCTCACTTTAACCAAGGGTTTTTTGTCCTTTTTTCTTGAAAAATAAAAATAAAGACTAGAGTACTTGGAAGTCTACTTGCCAATTCCTTTTCTCCTCTTTCCTCGCTTCTAACTTGTATCCCTATGTCTGCATACATGCCTAGTTCTTTTTTTTTTTCCATTAATTGAAAAAAAAGACAGAAAATGATTCCTTGGATACCTCATCAATTCCCATCACGAGATGTAGCGGAGATCCTCGTTTCTCACTCTGTGAAAAGGAAGTCTAAGACTGAGTTTTTTATGTAAAAGGACAAGGTTGAGTAGAAGTGAATTTTTTTTAGTCATGCTTCCATGTACAGTGTATGCAGAAAGATGAGAAGAGAACAGAAACAACAACTGATAAGAGGAGTATTGTTTGAGCTTTTTGCTGCGTCTTTTTTTTTGGGGGGGGGGGGGGGATCGATCGATACCCAAGGCTGACCTCGGGTTGGGGGGGGGGGGGGACATTTGCTTAGCAAGGTCTGTATACGTATATGTCGGGAGGAAAGCAGGGGGGAGGCTCGGTTAGTGGCTAGCAGTATTGGTGAAAATACAAAAAAATCTTGATGAAAAAGGTAACCTATAGTTATTAAGCCTTGTGCTATGGGAAAACAGGAATCGAAGAAGGGCAACAGTTCCCTGTGAAAGCCAAATACAAGTCACGTATATGTATCGATCATGGGGTAGTAAACACAATTTGAAAACAAGCATAGTTTAAATTCTCTTCTAAAACTCAAAAAGCTAAACTGGAGTATGGTTTTCCTCTCACCTTTTTTCTTCAAACAATTGTGTACAAGTCAAGCACCCCTATGCGGAGGGGATAAAAGAAAGGAATGTGAGAAATGGTAAAAAGAAATGCCCAATTCTTTTGTGTTTGATGCTCAGCTCTTCCGGGCTGCAGTTGGGCTTACTCCCTTGTGCACTTCATCTTGACGCATCATTCATATGGACTTAATCCGGGGGATACGGCGGATTTAAACCTCGTATATGGTTGAGATGCGATTACGTGCTACTGACGGATTGCCGCAGGTATGGCGGTATGCTGTCCGGAAGAGCCGACACAAGCTGCAGTACGGACTGGACCTAATATCAATATCAGTGCCAACGCACTGGAGGTCGCCTGCTCTGGTTCTGCCGACAGAGCATGTCCTAGGTCAGACGACCGGTGATGAATCCGGTATGTTGCTCGTTCGGGTGAAGGAGAGAGGCTCGCAGCCAAAACGTGTAAGAGTAGTAGTAGGGTATGTTACCACTATATCAGAGAGGCGAGATCAGTCATAGCCATTACCGGTGCCAATCTGACTGGCAAAAGCAGTGGAAACACTACGAGCATCATCGTCTTCAAAGCCGCCAAGTGCACCACGCAACCCACGACCAGCACCGAAGCCAGTACCGACGTTTGGACCCTGGCGAGTCGATTCCACAAATCGATTAAGTCGGTCTGACTGGCTGAGTGAGGTGGGCTTGTTGTAGTCGTTCAGACTCAGACCAGAAAGACTAATGCCACCAGGCGCATCGCTACGGGTATCTGTGAGCTCACTAGCTGCAATGGATTCACCAGCAACACTTTGAGGAGCGCCATTCTTGCCCTTGCCGTTAGGACGGCCAGGTAGGGGCCAGGACTCTTGAAAGTTAGAGAACATGGGGGGATAGTTGGAAGGAACACCAACACCGCCAAGGGCAGAAGAGTGGACAGAAGAGACATCGTCTGGGATGTAGCCCACAATGGAGCCGTTGTCATTGTACTCTTGACGAGGCTTGTTACCATTGAAGCCTGGCTGACGACCAGAGGTCATAGCGTTGGCGTGCTGGTAGGCCATCTGGTAGCGTTGAGGCCCGCGATATGTCTGCTTGGGGCGGCTGAATTGGAGAAGTGACACCTGTAGGTTGGTCAAGGGACCTTCAACGAGACAGTTGCGCTCCTTGAAATGAAGAAGAAGGTAGTGCCACAGTGGGTGCTTGGATAAGACCTTGGGGTTACCAAGAATGACGAGACCGTACTTGGCACGAGTGAGGGCAACGTTGAGGCGACGAGGATCACTCAAGAAACCGATACCCTGGTGATCATTGGAACGTACACAGGACAAGATGATGAAATCTTTCTCACGACCCTGGAAAGCGTCGACGGATGCAACCTCGACCTCCTTGTAGTTCTCTTTCTTGAAGCTGCCCGTTGCCTGCATGGAACTGACAACGTAACTGCGCTGGCCCTCGTATGGAGTGATGATACCAATATCGCTGGGCTGAACGCCTGCCTTGAAGAAGCGGGTCACAATCTTTTCGACATTCTGGGCTTCGGTCCGGTTGAGGTAGGAGGTTCCAGAAGCCGAGATTTCCTCAGCACCAAGGTTTGACCAGAACATCATTGGGCTATCAACAACTGGCCAGGGGAAGTCGACATCGCGGCGGATACGCTCTTGCATTGTGACACCGTTCTGGAGAGAGCCTTCGTAGAACATGTTGGATGGAAACTCGGACAGACACGGGTGCATACGGTACTGGACCTGGAGTCGGATGGGAGAGCATCCGAGAATGACGAGACGCTCGAACAAAGATTGGTTAAGACCAGCTGTTGCGGCCTTCTTGTTCATGATGACGGGTCCAAGTTGCTGGTGGTCACCAACCAACACGACCTGCTTACATCCCAGGACCAAGGGAATCATGCACTCTGGCTCTGCAGACTGTGTCGATTCGTCGATAAGTACAGTGCGAAACTTCATCTTGGATAGACGAGGATCACCGGCACCGACACAGGTGCAGCAGATGACGTCGGCTGCATTCAGGATCTCACGCTCGGCTGCACGAGTGAGCTGCTTAAACTTCTTTTCGTCCTGGCTTGAGAGCTCGCCCACATCGTTCTTCAGCTGGTTCAACTTGTTGAGCTCGACGTTGGTGTCGTTCATGCGGACTTGCTCATGGAGAGACAGGAAACCAACTGGAGACTCGACATCCTCCCTAGACTTTGCGGTCACACGGACTGTCTTGAGACCAGTAAGGTGAATACGCTCGCACAGCTGATCGACGGCAACGTTGGAGGGTGCACAAACCAGGACCTGACTACCGCTGATCTTGCAAAGATGATAGATGATGGTGGCGGACGTGACAGTCTTTCCGGTACCAGGAGGGCCTTGAATCAGACTGAGCGGCTTCTGGAGGACGCTCTTTACAGCATTGTTTTGACTGTTGTTAAGCTCCGGAAGACCTGGGACGCTGAACTTGCGGGGGATCGTAACCTTCATAGGGGCTGCTGCCACTTCGTGACCAAGCAGACGGTGGAAGATGTAACCAGAAACACTCATCTCATCAATAGCAAATGTCTTCATAGCATGCTGCATACGGTCAAAGGAGGTAGCTTTCCAGACATAGTCGGCACTGAAGTTGTGAGTACACTCGGTAGGAACTGACTTGTGGTCGCCCTTGGTGCGCAGTTCGATGGTGACCTCGTCGGACTGATTGTTCGGGATCTTGATGACATATCCGACGCCTTCCCAGTGCGGCCGGAGCTCTCCAGTATAGCGCAGTCGCATCTCATCACCGACTGCGAGCTTGACATCGCCTAGTTCAAGCTTTGGGAGGATGAAGCTAGCAGTGTGCTTGTTGTTTAGGGCCATGTCCCAGCGCACGACCAAGTTATCCTGCGACTGTGATTCCTTGAGCTTTCGGTCGTAATCGGCCTCAATCTTCACCAGGGGGCCAAAGACATTCTGGTACTGGTAGGCGTCATCGTATCGAAGCAAGACCTTAGCGATAACCTCCTCTTGACCGGCGCCCTTTTCGAGGTCAGCGATTGTAGCATTGGCGTCGTCCTTCCACAGCTCCTCGAGCTTTGCAATGGTCTGGGGACTCAGATGGCGAGCGCGGAGCTGCTCCTGGTCGGTTGGGGGAGGAACAAGCCAAGGAAGAAAGGAACGGTCTTCAATGAGGGGTTGCCAGCGTGACGTGTCCCAGTTCATGTCTTTCTGCGAGGGCATAGCGGCGCATGGCTGGCGACAGAGCAGTACAACGACCGTGTCCGACTTTGCGGGGATGAAACCCAACAGGAAGACATTCTTGGTACCGCAGTTGTAGCATTCGAGTGTTGTGTCGCCAAGCGAAGAGGCGGGATGCAACTGGACTTCCTTGTGGCGGGCGCGGACCAGATGGTTGATGATGTGCGACGACGACGAGTTGCCACGGGCACTGCAGAACCACTTGCTGCAGGCCAGACACTTGACGACGCTCCCGGCGTTGTGGATGCCACAGTACGCGCCTAAAGCAACCGGTCAGTCAGTATAGCCTTTGGTTGTGCCCGCCCACTTCCTTCCTACGTACACGCATGGGCCGGCAGCTCAACCTCCGCATCCTCCGCACGCATGGCCGACTGGCCCCCTCGGCCGCCTACCGGCATACTGGCCATGCTCTCAGCGTCATCGTCATCATACTCTTCGTCATCATCAGCGCGACGCCTGCGCGAAAGCTGGCCGCGGGAGAGGTCGCCGTCCAGAATGCCCTCATCTACGTCGCCAGCGTTGATTGTGGCCGCCGAGTCTGACACCAGGTGGTTGCCCATGTGCGTGAAGGCGCCCTCCATATTCGCAGTCGTTGTCGTTGGTTTCGTCGTCTTCGTCGTGGTCTCGGGCCGTAGTAGAATTTAAGTCGTGTGGCGCTCGAGGCCTCACTCACCCCCGGTTGGGCCTGAAATTCGTGGGAGCGAGTGCAAAGTTTCGAGGTCGTGGTAGTGGGTGATGTTGATGTTGTTGGTGGACAGCAGAAGCTGAGAATATGTCTGTCTCTTCTGCTCACACCATTGCCAGCGTGACAAGGCCTTGACGTTGCGCGTGTGGGTTTGCGACTGAGTGTAGATGGATTGTGGCGGACAAAGATTGTGTTGAAACAAAGTCCAGCGGGGTCGGGATGTCGGAGCAGATTGTCCTTGGCGCGGGCTCTCTCCCACGGTTGCCTTGATACCCACTCCCAACACTGTACCTTCTTCACATCAAGCACTGCATGTGCAAACACCAGAACGCATCCCTCTACGCAATCATAAATTTTCAATTCAAGGACATGTGAGCTTTCAAGAGCTCAGCAGAAAGATCATCATCGCCAGCAACCGTTCAGTTGCCCCACACACGTCATTGACAGCCACTGTAGCCATGCATCGAGGCCCATTGGTGCAAATGAAAAATCTCACAAAGCACATGCAAGACTGGCCATAATCTAGGATCCATCAACGTTCGTGTGTTCGCTACACCTTACACGCCTGTGGTGCAAGCTATTCGCACCGTCTACCCTTGACACTGTCCTTGGAAGAATGCCTGGGTAAGAGACCGTCTTCTACACATCCTCTTACCAAGGTTTGTGTAAGTATAAACCATGGGTTTGGTCTCCATTTAAAAGAAGAAATGGCGGTTGGCAACCAAACGTCTTCATGTCTCTTCGGCCCATCCTGATACTCGGACTTGTTGAACACTACACGACGGCTGTAACCCGGACAAGGCAGATGGGCATTCCAATTTACCCATCTTATCATGGTCGATTTTCTTTTATTCCATGTATGGCGGCGCATTGTCTCAGCCACTTTTCAACCCCCATTCATTTGCGGTCGCGTCTTTCGGTATCAAGAGAGCATGTCATCAATTGGATCTAAGTCCTCACATGGCTCATTGTTGATACTTTTCAGGGTGTTGGCAGCTAGTGTGGTGGCTATATTCTGTTATCGGTGCAATCCCGTCGACATCAGCGTTCTCGCCTTGGGCTGCCTGCCGGTCTGCCTACTGGTCTGCCCGCTTGTCTGCCTGCTTGTCACAGCGAGAGCAATACTAAGCCTCAGCATCAGCTGCCACTATACACAGAGTGCGATTCAACTTGATCACATTGTTGCATATGCAACTCGTCAACGGCTGCCTTGTGCATCTACTGTTAGCGACAATTCCATATATTGTGTCCAGCTCACAATGTGCAGTCTGTCAGCTGTCCCATCATGATGATCAGATTCGCACAAAACAGGTTTGTACTTGAGTGCGTTTGCCTGTGCATATGCATTTCCACTATAACTTCGCAGCACAGCATACGTCGTTGACACAAGTGTGGGGGAAGTTGGAGCCGTTTTTGCAAAATGTCAGACGACAACGCCGTGCATTTAGCACCATGCAGGCCACTGCATTTGCAAAAGCCAGAATCTCTCGCCATAGGACCATGATGCTGACATGCGATCGGCTATCAGCCCATATGCAACCCCCACAATTGGGACCACGTTGCTCAGCGTCTGATTCCATGCAGGTTCGCATGGCGCACCCTGTCTCGGTTGTCGTACTGCGAAACACTTGGTATGTCGCACATGTCCATCTCCGCAGTTTGGGCAGGTGGATCGGTATGGCCATGCAGAGCAACTGGATACTGTTGGATATCCAGCCCCATTCACCGTGGCATGACGTCTAATATAGGAATAGTACTGTAGATGTGTTGCAGCCTCACACTTCACTAGCGCCAATATCTCCCATCTTTGAGCCACCGGCAGACAAAGACATGAAGCGAGATAAACACATGACCATCTTGGCTTTGAAACTACTGCGAGCAGCAATCAAAATGGAAATTCAGCTTATGGCATACTATCACGGCATGCTCTCTACCGATCGAGGTCAGTAGTACAAGTCCGATCCGAAAGCTTAGAAGGTTCTTGTGCAGCCACATCCATTTTCAGCCTCTGCTGCCATGCAGGCGGTAACACGTAGCCAGAGATGGGGAGCTATTCGGGCCTATTTCGATGTCACGCAGCACGCAGGACGCAAGGCACAAGACTGCATTGCCTATTCCTACAGCATGCATGTTTGTGAGAGGTCCGGCCCTGTTGCCGAAATGGCTGCATGTCATTTCAGGCAGCCTTCTTCTTTCTCTGTCTTTGATCGGAGCCTGGCAGTCAGACTGGGCAGTGAGCACCACCTTATTGCCAATGCTGCCTAATTGCTAGCAATGGGAAGGAAAATATACGAGGATAATGTATCGACTCTGG